CGGCGGGCCCCTCATCGTCCGTGTCCAGGAAATGCAGCTGGGCCCCGGGGCTCTTCAGCGCCGGCTTCTGGTCCGGGTTGTTGGGGTCCCAGAGCCGACGGGACGTGCCCCCCCGGCTCCAGCCACGAGGGCCTTTGCCGCTGCCGAAGAGGAGCCGGGCCCCTCCTCCATGGGGGGCTTCGGGGGACCCTGTGCCACTGGGGGTCAGGTCCGTGTTGGCTGGCAGCACCAGGATGCCTCGGCCCCGGTTCTGGGGCTTCCCTTCCCCGGCTTCCGCGGGGTCCCTGGGGGTGGCCCCGGAGGGCCTGCCGCCCTTTCGCCAGTCGGGCTGGGAGGCCGCGGAGGCCCTGCTGCCCCCCTGGGCTGCTCTGGGGTCCAGGCCCCGGCCAAGCCGGCCGTGCTCAGGGCCCCTCCTGGCCTCTGGGGCCTCCTCGGCCCTGTCCTCTTCCAGGGAGTCGGTGGAGGAGGCGGAGAGCTGCTTCTGTGGGCGGGGCCTTTCCGGGGCCTTCCTCCTCACCTCCGCCTCCCCCGGGAGCCCCTCTGTGCTATTGTTGCTGCCGGCCGAGCTGGTGCTGCAGGTGCGGTAGCGGCTCCGACGCTTGTCCGACCGGGAGTAGCGCTTGGGGGGGCTGCCCTTGCCCTGGCCGAGGTCATCACGGGCCCTCCGGGGCCGCTCGGCCCGCCGGCCCTTCTCCCCCCTCCCTGGCTTGGCCCCTTCCTGGCTCAGCTGCCCTCCGTCCTGGTCGCCTGGCTTCCTGGGGCCGCTGCCGGGGCCCCCGGCCTCCTTCTCGGACTCTGCCCCCCTCTCCTCCTTCGCGGGCAGCTCCTCCTCTCCCAGGGGGGCAGCCCCCGCCTCTCGGGGCGAGGCCTGCAGGCGTTTGCCAGGCTGGTAGATCTGCTGGTCGGGCTTCTTGGCCCGCCGGATGATGCGCGGGCACCAGTCTTCGGGGTTCCCCCCACGGCCCTGCGAGGAGGAGCCGCCGCCTTCCAGGAAGCCGTTGGGGGGCTGGTCTTCGGGCGGGGGCTGGGAGGGCAGGGCCTCCTCCCTGGGGCCCGGGTTCTCCTCCTTGGGGCCCTCCGTCCTCGGAAGCTCCTGCTTCGCCGGGCCGGGCTTGCTCCTCAGGCGGGAGAGGCCCGGCTTGTAGATCTCCAGGTCCGGACGCCGGTTGTCCTTACGATGCCGGGGCTCCTTCATGGTCTCTGCAGAAGGGGAAGCGGAGGAGCAGGGTCACCCCCGGAGCCCGTGTGGGTGTGTGCGTGTGTGGGTGTGTGTATGGGGTGTTTGAGAAGAGTGGGGCTCCCCAGGCGGGGTGAGGGAGGGACCAAGGCATCTCTG